TAACGTACATAAAAAGATGGCCATGATCGCGATCATGGTCGGCGGGGCTATCATCAATACCCTGGCCTTTTCCGGCAGCAATTACCTTTTTTTCCCGATTACAAACGTCCAACACGGCTGAAATCGAAGCGGAACGGAAATGGCACGATGTGGCCGTGGAGAAATTACAAGCCGCACAAGCCGAGTAAGCGAAAAAATGCATGGAAAGAATCGATTTCATCGACGCCCAACTCCAACGCGAAAAACACGCCCTTCGAACGTTCAAGGACGTCGACGCCGACTATTGCGGCATCCACATGATGTACATCAGAAAGGGTTTCTTCAACTACACGTGCGGGATTGGCGTGAAATGTCATTATCGTCGTTGCAAAGCCCACAGAGTGGATGTGGTCCGAGGTCATCTCATCCACTTGACGAAAAGAGATGATCTCAATGAACGTAACCGACTCCTCAGAATAAAAAGTTTGCAAAAAGATTTTACGTGCGCTTCATTTCAGAGAGAAGGCTGACGTAGTTACCTCCCGTGATTTAACAACCTAGTAGACATTTGACTTCGCACTTGAATATAATATAAAAAAATATTTTTTTTCAAGTTTTCGCACATTAGTATAGCAATCATGACAACCGTCTGCAAACTCAAAGCGATGGCGAAAAAACGTTGATTGGTGGGTTATTCTCGCACGAGGAAACACCACTGCTCACCTTGCTCGACATGAAGTATGTCAAGCCCCCTACCGTGTGAGACCTCAAACTCTGAGCTAAAGAACGGGGGTTGAAGGGTTATTCTCGCATGAGGAAAGCCCAACTGACCACCTTGCTGGAAGACACTGAGCCAGTCGAGTTGAGATTCGTGCCGACGGACCACGCGGTGGGTAAGTATCTGAGAGGCTGGAAAATGGTGATCGATTCTAATATCGATACCGATAAAATCAAACCCTTAATCGACAGTAAACTTCACGAAGAATTAAACAATTGAAAAGCATCAAATACCAGTTGACCCTGAAACAGAGGCGGATCGTACCTAGACTTGCCTCCGTATTACAAGAATAAAAAAGCCATCGTGAACGTTAAAAACAACGACGATCACTGCTTAAGATGGGCGCTGAGATCTGCCTTATTCCCCGCTGATTCTAAAGTGGCAAACAGACCTTCGAGCTATCCCGCAGACAATGGGCTGAACTTGGACGGTATAGACGCACCCACACCCATCTCTCAAATGACGAAGGTGAAAAAACAAAACAATTTAGCCATCAACGTCTTTGGCCACGAAGGCAATACGACAATTGTGCACCGAATCAGCTCCAGGCCCGATGATGTGCGCAGATATACCAAGGTGCCGCCCATAACGCTGTGCAACCTCCAGCTTAGAATCGATCACCAAACCCTCCCCATCCCCGTGGTGTTTCACAATTTGAGAGGGTACGATGCTCCCTTGATCATGCAGGCCATCTCGAACATCGAGGGCAAGTTAACGTGCATCCCCAACAACATGGAAAAATACATCTCGTTCTCACTCAACGGTCTGAGATTTATCGATAGTGCTCAGTTCCTCCTGTCATTGCCCGATAGTTTGGTCAAAGCCAACGATACCTTCGCCATCATCGATCGATACACCGATGCGGCGACTTGACCTCTGCTGCTACGGAAGGGCGTGTACCAATACGAGTACATGGACGATTGGCCCAAGTTCCACGAGCCACGATTACCCCCCATCGACTGCTTTTACAGCGGCTTAACCGACTCCACCATCTCCCAGGACGATTACGACCACGCCCAGAATGTGTGGGAGAAACTGGGCTGTTGACATTTGGGCGATTATCACGACCTCTACTTCAAAACGGAGGTCCTGCTGCTGGTCGACGTGTTCGAGACGTTCAGAACAACGTGTTTGAAACAGTATCAACTCGAACCTGCCTGGTACTACACCAGCCCCAGTCTCTCGTGGGATGTGCTCTTGAAGAAAACCAGAGTTAAACTGGAATTGCTCACGGATTACGACATGCACCTGTTCGTCGAGAAAGGCATGCGCGGTGGGATTTCCATGGTCTCCAATTGGTACGGGAAAGCCAACAAGTACGTGGAAAGCTACGACTCAAGCAAGCCAACCAACCACTTCCTGTATCTGGATGCCAACAACCTGTACGGCTGGGCCATGAGGCCAGTCTCTACCTACGGGCGGGTTTGCGTGGTTGGATGATGAGATCGATATCATGGGCATCACGCCGGATTCAAACAAAGGCTACATCCTCGAAGTGGACTTGGACTATCCCGCGGCATTGCACGCTACACACAACAGCTATTCGCTTGCTCCCGAACGGTTGGCGGTGAACTGAGACTGGATGTTGGACTATCAACTAACGTTGTTCAGGAAAAATAAGCTGGCCAACGTGGAAAAACTCGTTCCATACTTGATGCGTAAAACCAAGTACGTGGTGCACTATTGGAATCTGCAATTGTACTTGTCGCTGGGCATGAAGCTGACTAAAATACATCGGGTGCTGCAATTCGATCAAAGTCCCTGGATGGAACCTTACATTCGGCTGAACACTGAGCTGCGAAAAAAGGCCACCAGCGACTTCTAGAAAAACCTCTACAAACTGATGAACAATTCGGTGTTCGGCAAAACCATGGAAAACTTGAGAAAATGGGTGACGGTCAAACTCGTGCGATCTCACGAGGAAGAAAAACTAAGGAAACTCATAGCCAGCCCGGCCTTCAATCGAAGCAAGCTATTTGATGATGACTTGGCGGCGCTGCACATGAACAAAAGCCACATCAAGCTCAACCGACCCGTATATGTGTTTTTAGGCTCTTACTCTGTATCCCTAAAATTTACACAACGGCAAATAGCATATGTCGAAATAACCCACTTCGGCCTAACTTGGCATTCAGTGGGATGCGTAATAGGATATCCAGAAAAGCATGTTTACTCGTAAAATCGGGCAAAACTTAGAACAAATATGAATAGCTGCTGAAAACAATAGATCAGACTATAGATGGCAATAAGGTCGCTCAGCCAGGTATCACGACAGACTGTCGACACACCTGGCATGAAATGCATGTGCTGCCTACAGGCGCCCAAGGGGTCATCTCAAAGATATTTTGTGCTTTTTCATGTGTGTTGACTATGCCTCATCTATTGATTAACAGCTTAAGTGTCTTTCTTTCATAAAGTTTATGTTGAGATATGTAAAAGAGTTTGATACCTGATAAACATAGAAACGCATCGTATTAAATGCCTCAAAATATATAGGTGGCATGACCACCCGATCGCTAAGATCAACAGGACTGGATATTATTTGTAAATTGTTATGACATGCCGTGTATTACTACTACCCGACAAAGGTTCCCATTTCTTGTGTCTGGAGTAAATACTCATCATTATAAATTGAGGTCTAATGTGGCAAATGTATTAAATCTTATGTAATATACGCATGGAAGTGCAGTAAGAGGAATTATCAGCTGAGTTACAAAACAAACATCGATCAAAGGATTAACAGATAACACGCTGATTGATTAATTGCTTTTATCCTGTACAGCGGATTTGTCAAAAGGTAGTGTTTATGTATGTAGATTTACTAATCTATACTGAATACACCCTGTCATAAAGTCTCTTTGTAAAAACAACGTCCTTCCTTTAAAGGATTAACCGCCAATACATTGATTGATTGCTCATTATTGGCTAACTAAATTACTTTTTTACATCATGCAATTAGTTGCCAGGTGTGCTATCTTGGGTGACCAATGGGACTATACACCAATGTGAAAATCCTGAAACGATAGATCACTCTTTCACATATTAGAGTGTTAAAAGACACATGACATGGAACAGGATACTTTGTCAGCTGCAGATGAATGGCATCTCATTCCTTTATGTGGATATTGATGGATACATTCCTCGAACAAGGTAATAGCCTGATATTGTTGCTATAACTTTGGTCTGTTTTAATTTTAATATTTTCATTTTTTTTTTGCCGTGAAGTGTAATGAGACAGACAACATACACTAGGTCACATTTAAGGCGTCTGTGTGAAATATGATACACATTGGCAATCAATAAGATGTCTATATAATGTTATAAATTCACTACATATAAGCAGATCGTGTGCATTTTATTAAGTTTCAAAATGCATACAAATATGAAAATAAACTAATTAGGATTATAAGACAAAATATAAAGACGTACATTGACGTCGTTATTTCAGTCCTAACATTTATTACCACTGGCAGATGGTTATACTTAAAATGTTTTCATTTGTTATCAAAATAATGCCATTTAATACAACATTCAGATTGACTAGTAGTGAACCCAAGCTCACTACTCTCCCCAAGACTCCCCATGTACTTAGTTAGCCTTACTTTCAAAACAATGCTATTATATCAGGCTTCTCACCAAATTCAAGGTCAAACTATTTCTTAAATCAAATTCTACATCCATTTACGTTAACATTTTTATAAAGTCAACATTACTATGAAAACAAATTTTACATCAAAATCAGCATATTTATCAAAGTGAATATTTTTCTATAAGAAACCAAATTATTCATCAAAGTCTACATAATTTGACAACAAAATAAACTTAAGATTATCAAGTAAAAAAGATATCATCTTTGTTGATCAGTCTATACTTATACTATCAATTGTGCATAAGGGTGGCGCAGCAGAGGTAACGAACCAGTCATGAATTCTGGGATATCATCCGGGTACTCACTGGAGAAAAACAGTAACAAAAGCAACAACCAGTCGACGGAAATTGCTCTGGATCAGTGGCCCTTTAAGCATATGAACTCACCCAAAGTGTTACAAGTAACCTTCCAGTACTTTAAATCTCCCAAGTTTGACACACACAAATGAAAACCCAACCCTGTTACAACTCTTTAAAACAATCATGACTTCACATAACATGAAGCAAAAATGATACTTATTGGAACAGGTCAGCTAAAATCCATTTCTCCCTGGCTGTTATTTAAAACAAATTGCTTCAAGTAAAGGTGACTTACTATTTCAGCTTCTCGTCTTGCTACAGCCACCTCACTGAGAATGTCCATGACAGCCTTTTCATTTGTCTTGTACTCTGTCAGCTTTGCATCTGTGTTGTGTTGAAAGTGACATTAGTATCTGCTGCTGCTGCTGCAGCTGCATGCATTTATCTACTGACTGTTGACATTCTAATATTGTTTCAACAGTATCCTTCAGTATATAATGTCCAGATGTTGGAGAGATGTGAATGTTCTTCATCCTAAACCCTCACTCTACATTTGCCTCTCAACCCACAATATATCAAAATACTGATAGTTCTTACAGGTACTTATGCTGTATTAAACAACAGATTATCATTCTAATACAATTCCATCGTAACCAAGGCATATTTAGAACAATCATATAAACACCAATGAAACTTTCTGCTATGTGTGATACGCTTTTACAACTAAGGCCTTTTCTTCCATAGTTATTATGATGTGACCTTGGCCAGGTTTGAAGTCGGACATATCTTGTACTGATTAACATATCTAAACATCAAGCATGGGTGAAACCTGTCAAAACTTGCTCAAGATATGAAAGAAATATCCTGACAAATCTGATTGATACTACCAACTATGAAACAATACTTGTGAACCAGAGTACGATGGTATCTTTGGGGGGATGTGCCTGAACAATCAAGAAAACGATTAAGATGTGGAACAAAGACTCAATTGATAACAATGACAGCATTGATAAAGCTGTTGATGTAATTACATGGTCAGTGTCATGCCCGAAAAGTAAAGCAAACTTTTCCAAAACAAGCTCTGTTTGTCAAAAGAGCTAAAACATTTGTTGAATGAAAAGAAGACCAAGAATAATGTAAAATTACAATGGGTCCAAAAACTGAATATTCAAATACAAAGGAATAAAGAGGCTTTTAAGTGCAAAGTGGACACATATCTACAACAAGGTGACATGCGTAGAGCGTGGCGTGTGATAGAGTATAGCCAGAGGAAATAAACATCATCAAGAATTCAATGTTGCAGATGAAAGATCATACGCAGAAGACTTGAACTCTTTCTATGCTAGAATCTGATGACAATGACATCTCATCCCAAATGAATAACATTATCAAATCCAAATTGTGTTTTATCCTTTGGTAAATGAACTAAAACTGTAAAACCAAGCCTGACCATGACTCCTTCAGCAGAACAACAATTAATAATGATTATTTTTTACAAAAATACAATATCTATATCAAACTTTGCTCTGCACCTTTCTATACACAAAGAAGCAATTGCCCAAATTTGAAAACAATCCACTAAATGATTGTAAAGTTATTGGTTGAACAAATTTGACATGGGACTTTTTCTCATGTTCAAGAGATGTGATTTGAGATAATTCTTGATGAATTCAAAATATCTGTATGAAACTTTGCATTGCATCTCTCCTTTTGACAAATACTTTCCAAGTTACTGGTTGAACAACTTTTCTAAAGTCAAATTTGTAAATGGCTGTAATTCATGTACAATGTCATCAATATTGGCAGTGCACAAAATTTAAAAAACCAATCCAACAAATAGTTTTCAAGTTACCTGCAACGTTAAAAGGTTGGGGGTATAACAATCCTTTAGTAACTTGGAACATGTAAAATGTTTTATGTGAAAATTAGAAGAAATCTTTACTGATTGTTGACGGACAACGTCCAAGATTCATAACCACTATGCAAACTTAAGTTAAAAATATGTTCTATTGGTATAAGGTTTCTGGATATAATCACTATAATTTCTTTATTAAATATCCATGTAAGAGGCAACAACTTACTGATGTAGGCTTCTATAGCATGTACCAGCTTCACATCAAACTGTGTGACCAATGTAAGTGACACACCACCTCGACCTGCAAAGTAATAGGAGGGTAATCGGAAAAAAAGCATCAGGAAAAACAGAATCGGAAAAAAAGAATCCAATTTTGCTAGGAAAAAAAGATACAGGGAAAAAAGAATCAGTTGACAGCAGTTAACCCCCTTGATGCCGAGTTTTTTTTCAGGCGCACATTTTCATACGGTTTGAAAAGTGAATGTTGTGCGAGAATTGCGCTTGTGTGGTCCTGGATCTACGTACCGCTATAAAATTACACAGAAATGTAGAATATTAAATTTCCTATCCGTTGGTATAAATATAAGTGCAACTACCTTGGCGGTTTGAGAAATAGACACTGCTAAATGTTGTCCAAAGTTTGTTATGCGTTAAAAAAACAGTAAATTTATCCGCTTTTTATCGCGCACCGATAAAAGCACTGTGCTACAAATTTTTTAATGTGGCATCTTTACGGAAAGTGTGAGCGAAGAAAATACAGCCTGATATCTGAACGACATAAGTGTATATGAATTGGGTTCATGTGCATGTGCATAATGTTATACGCTCAACATTAAAAATGACTCGCAATAAATGTCAAAAATGGATTTTCTTCTATGACGTCAAACGACGACAGAGAGGTCATACACATATAATGATAAGGGGGCATAACTCTGTTATGCGTAACACTAGGTCAATGTAACTCAGATCACTTGGAGAGAATTTGTTGTGGATACGGACGCTATATTTTCGTTATTTTATGTTCATGGTGAACCAAACTATTCCAATTCAAAGTTCCCCAATGTGAGGGGATGCAGTTTGGTAGTTTCACAATTTACAAGAAAAATGACAACGTATTACTTGTGAAAGCACGTAATAGCGATTTGGATGGCCCTATCCGATATATAAGTTAGTTCTTAGATTCCCATATTCTCCTGTTTGTGTAGATGTAATTTGACTAATTTTGCATCGTTATTACCAGAATACTAGCCATATCTTCAAATGTAATGAAATTGCTGAAAATAATACATTTTAGTCGACGTCATTGCTTGTTTTATGCATTTTGCGACGTCGGAAAAAGACGACATTGGTATGCTGATTAGTATATATCTCCCCTAATTTCCATTAATTGTATAAAAGGTCTAGGCTTCTACATCAGAATTTAACACTCTTTAGACAAAACATAAAATGACTGATTTTTCCATTTAAATAGTGTCCCGAATATATCAACAATTAGACGGTTTGACAGCGTATCTTATTGTGAACAACACGCGCACCTGTTTGGCAGCAATTTAACGTAAATAAAAATAATATTTCACAACACCCGAATATGTTGTTTGGGATAAGAATTTTGTTTGTTTATGATTATGTAGCTATTTCTCTTCATACGTATGCAATGAAAGATGCAAAAAGATAGCATTTTATATATGGAACTATATATTAGAATATGGATGTGAGATTTGTCCGAATTAACACATGAGATGGTATATATATTTTTCAACAATTTTCCTATAAATGTTGTTAGAGTTTGATATCCTGTCATCACAATATTATTTAATCGAATATGAATTGATTATATTATCGAAAACAATGATAGAGAATCATAAAAGCGTTTCCAACAAAGCAAGACCTGGCCGATCAATATGCATCATTCTTTTTTGTCTATAAAACGACACAAAATTATGCAGTGAACAAGACAATTCCTTTAAATATGTGTGCATATACATTTCATACCATATATAAATCATTTTCATTAATATTATCAGTTTTACATATAAGGTTGAATTAAATAACCGTTCATTAACCTGTTCAATATGAAATTGCAATATTAGTCCAAATAAATTGAATATTGTACATCATAGGAACTAAAGTAGTTGCAGTTATGGCTACGTTTGATCTTCTAACACTTGTGTAAAGGTTTAGAATATGGTGTATTGCACTAAATATGTCAAATTCTTATGTAACTATGATTCAAACAATCAAAAAGCTTTCAAAGAATAAAACACCGTAAACCCTATATGCACGTATGATATGATATTGAACAAGGTTAAATGTAGATACTGAAGTCAGTTTCATGAAAAAGTATCTGAACTATACGCAAAAATATACACCATAATACTGACAGTGTAATCGGAAGGAATGGGCGCTTGTGTTTACTCTTGTTCAACTGACCTTCATCTCAAAGAAATTGCCTAATATGTAGAACAATGTTGACATATGACATCACTACCGCTGACCGATTTCTTACAAAATGGCGGCTTTGCTGACAAGGGTACACAGGATTTTGCGAGGACCCTTCCATTGATTCAGGGATCGTTTGTATATAAATATGAGATGTAAGTAATCAGAATGATTCTGACTATTTGTGTATTGTTATATGTTTTTATCATTTTCACTATAAGTAAGAGAATAAGACAGAAATGCAGATAATTACCGTTGTCGTTCTGTGTGATTTTGCGTCAGTCATGGCGTCACGCTGCACGGAAACTTTGACAATTTCTAATGAATTATCAAATCATTGCATTGTATCTATTTATAATTTCCCATTGCTTGCTACGATACTCTTTCCATGCATATTCCAAAGGTATTGAGCCATTGCAAGCAATGAATAGACGGATGAATGTTGAAAAATTTCAGAAAATGCTACGCAGTGTAAAATCGGAATTTGTCTTTTTGTTTACATTTCAGACAAGCGCAGTCTTTCAAGCACAGCATTCGTTTTCACACCCAATATGTTTCGTCTCATTTTATCTAGACAGTTGGTATTGGTGACAGACCAGTTACAATTTTATTCTAAAATATATGGGGAATTCAGTGATGCATTTTTAGAAGCTGAATATGAAATATACGTGATGTAATAGGCGTCTCAATACCGGCCTTCGAGAAACGTGATTTTGTAAACACTATCCAATATGGCGGAAAGCGTTCTACGGCGTTCGTGTAAGTGCATTTTCGAAAACATCCCAACTGATTCTAGATTCATCGGCAACGTTTCAGAATTATAATTAGCGATTTCACGTAAAACTGATATCAGTGATCATGAATATGTTATTTTTTAAATTCAATACTCCCAGTAATTATCCGATTTTCACATTTCAAAACATGCAGCAAATAACGCTGTGAATCGCGATTTCGTACTGTGTCAAAAATGGCGACATTTTCGATGAAGCCTATTTTGAAAGGTCATTTTCAGCACTTGAGTTTTGTCTAAAATAATAGTGGATGGTATCAAGAAACAGGAAATTTCCCGCAGAATTCGAAACCATGAAGTGTATTTGTGTGCGTGGGATATTTTGATTTTTATTGGACTTGAAATTGAGGGTTGAAGGGGAAGGACATATATGTCCCTGTGGCATCCAGGGGGTTAAGACTAGACTTCTTTGAGCACTTCCACCAGACCTTGTTCTTTCTTGTACAGTTTCTGGTGTACATGTACCCATTCCAGCAAAGCTTCTATACCAATTATACATGATTGGAAGCCAGTTAATCTCTTAACAATATACTGACATTAGACTAAAACATGTACTAGTCGTTTGGTCCAGACATCATGTCCAGGTTGCCACATGCTATTTTACCAGTATATTTTAAGAGCCAGATTATGGCATCTGATCACATGTTTAAAGAGGGACAAAATGAATCCATGTTTAAACCAGGACACATGATTTGTGTAGTTATTGTAGAACAGAGATGTGACTTCTTTCCTAACAGTTGGAGGCACAGCTGGCCCAGTTGTTTGTGATTTGCTGTGCAGGAATGGGGTTTGATTGTGTGTTGGAATCCTGGCTAGGAGTCATTTAACTTCTGGGTTTGTCAGCATGCTTGTGAGTTTCATGTGGTCAAAGTCTGCATCATTCTAGGGTTTCCACCCACATCAAGCTGAAACACTGGTGTAATGGGAACACAACCCAACTCACACTCTCACTCACTGTGTTTCGATCACATTGTTTCTTAGGACTAATATTCTGAAACATAACAAATTTGTTGTCAAGTTATTGGCAATCTAGACAATTTGGAACTTGGATATTTGATACTTCGAAAGGGTCAGAGTGATTATTTTGTTGTTGCAACTTCTATTTCTTTTGAAGTTTCGAAACCTCATCATCAATTATCATCTTTGTTGTCATTCAGTGCTACAATATCAATGCAAGTAATCACCCTACAAAGCTACATGTAATGTAAGTCATATGTTTTGTTTAAAGCTGAAATTTTGATGACGGAGTGTTAATATTCACATATTACGCATACAAAATTATGCTTTTGAATTAAGCTTAGGTTTAAACAGCACTTGTTCTCTTTCCATCCGTAATTGTTTATCTTTGTTAAACAATTGATAAAACGGAAAGATAGTAACTGGCCATTCCCGCATTCATCAATGTGTTTGCTTGCATTTACACATCGCACATTAGGATCTCAAATTTGCTGCCTGTGTACAGTGACTCGGTCCTTTAGTTGCAATCCAGTTTCTCCAACACGTTAAAACATGTTTAAACCTAAGCTTAATTTAAAAGTTTAATTTTGTAACCTTCCCAGTGTAACTCAGTATGTATTTGTGCACTGAAACCATAATGCATACACATCCACCACTATTGTTACTAACCATGGCGTCAAAAATATGATGACATCATAAATGTAACCTTACTGTCACCCATGACTACGTTTTACGTCTTCCGCTATTGTCACTAACTGTAACTTCATTTGCATCATGACGACATAGATACTACTGTTATGCGTTGCCGTTGAATGGCAAAATATCTTGTGCAGATAAAGGAGTCTTGGCAAGAAGAAATATCTGGACTCATCTTATATATATGCAGTGTTGCATCCAGGAATTTGGGATTAAGGGGGACATCCCCCTTAACTGTTGAAACAACAAAAAGAGGGGGACCTGACGCCAATTAGGGGGGATCACATATTGACTAAAGATAGGTATTTACTGTAATGCTGATGCCGTGACAACAATGTTTAACTATTCACATGAGTTTTCTTACCTGGCCTTTGGCTCAACACTTAAATAAACGTCTCTCTTTCTTAGTTTCCCATGCT